CCGAAGGCCCCAGTGGCCGCAGGCCGCATGCGCGTCTCCTCACACAATACAGCGCTTCGCATGCTTCATGGCACAATGAGGAGATCCCCCGAAGGCGGTACCCGCAACGACAGTATTCACGCTTACCTATGTTTGGGTCCTTCGTCCCGACAACTTGACAGGGATGGTGGGGGGTGTTGACATAGTTCTGGTGTCGTCCCTGGTCGGGTACGGGAGGGGGCGTCTATTCATCAGGAACAGCGATGAACCTCATCGAAGGGGAAGAAAGGGGTTGGAAGAGGAAGCGCCCTAAACCACCTAAGTATACCCCAAACGAGGGGGGAGGGGACGGGCTACGAGCGTCAGGAGCGTCAAAAAGAATTCGGGATGAAAGGCCGACCACGGGAAAGGGTCGACATCTCCGGGGGCCCACGTTGTGAGAAATCATTACCCGAGGCAGCGGCGGGGAGGGCAAAAGCTAGAACCTGGAAGACCCGTCCCGCCCCTTCTCCCTCCCCGCGGTGCAGGGAGGCAGGGGGTAGGATACAAGACTGGGGGACGGGCCCTCCACTTGTGCAACGGGCGGAGGGGGGTAGGACACCGGCCAGGATCTACGTGGTTGTGCAGCTGGCGCCGTCCGGGATTATGGCGTCTCGTCCCGCAGGCATCGAATTCGAGCAGGGTTCGATGGCCCAGGCTCAGGTCATCCAGTGCACGCACCCGCCAAGGGGGCGCATTCTGCTGCAAGGTGGATCGTCGCAGGCGGGTGGCTAGTTGCCACTGCGGCCCGGGCCCTTGTGTTGCAGAAGTAGGAGGAGGAGGAGGAGGAGGCGACGAGGAGGAGAAGGAGCAGGAGGAGGGTATTTGCCCGGTTTCGATCGACGACTGGTTTCGGGTAGCAGTGCAGAGCGTTTAAGCCAAACAAGGAGATCGAGGATGAGGAAGAGGAGGAGGAGTGGGAGGGGGGGGAGGATGGGGAGGAGGAGGAGGAGAGGAGGAGGAGGAGGAGGAGGAGGAGGAGGAGGAGGAGGAGGAGGAGGAGAGGAGGAGGAGGAGGAGGAGGAGGAGGAGGAGGAAAATGGGGAGGAGGAGGAGGAAAGAGGAGGAGGAGGAGGAGGGAGGGGGAGGAGGAGGGAAGGCGAGGAGGAGGAGGAGGAGGAGGAGGAGGAAGAGGGAGGATGAGGATGATGAGGAAGAGGAAGCGGGAGGACGAGGAAGGAAGGAGGATGAGAGGAGGAGGAGGAGGAGGAGGAGGAGAAGCAGGAGAAGCAGGAGAAGGAGGAGGAGATCGAGGACAAGAGGACAGTCCTAAGGACAGTCTGACAACCACAGACGGTGGGACATTCGCACGCACCGCAAGACGGCGGCCGCTGAAGGAGAGAATGAGCGAGGAGGAGGGGGGGCGGGGGAGGCGGGGGAGGAGGACGAAGGGTAGGTGCAGGGAGGAGAGGAGAGGAGGCCCGACTCTGTATTTCCCCGCGAGCTTGCAAGTTGCACGTCAGACAGAATTCGCGAGGAGTGATCGTTGTGTGCATGCGCGGAGACAAGCCAGGCCGTTCGCAAAAGGGAATATTGTTACCTCAGAGCGCGGTCGAGAATTTCTGTACCTGTCCCACCGCTATGCTCTCCTCCTACTAGTGGCTGTTCTTCATTTTGCCTCGTGGTATCGCCGCCCAGATGATCTCCGGTGTTGTTCTGAATCTGTTGTTGGGAAATTGTTTACGCTTCGCGAATCCCCACCAACCCCCCCATTAAGGAGCCTTGCCCATGAGCTGACGGGAACAGGGGCGAAGAGACACATATAGCAAAATAAAGCGGGCAACCAGGGTGAACAAGAGAGATCTCAGGGAGCAAAGGGGTGGCCTTGGAGGGCCTCTTCGGGCCATCTCCGGGGCCCAGAGCTCTTTCGGGGCATCTTGGGGCCCTCTTGGGGATCTTTGGGCGGTCTTGGGGTCCTCTTGGAGCTCTTTTGGGGCGCCTTGGGGCCCTCATGGGGCCCTCTTGGGACTCTTCTCTTGGAGCTCTCTTGGGCCATCTCAGTGCCATCTTGAGGCCTCAAAAGCGCATCGGAAGAGAAATGGCGAGAAGGCAAACATCTGTGCGCTTCCTGTGTTTTTGAAGGATGTTGTCTTCTCGGGGAGGTCCTGAGGGGTCGCCAAAAAACACCTGGAACCGTTTTGTGGCCCTCTTGGGGCCTCTTGGAGACATGTTGTTGGCTATCTTGGGCCATGTTGGGCTATCTTGAGCGATCTTGGAGGCTACCTTGGCCTCTCTGAGGCCCTCTTGGAGCCATCTTTGGTGAAACATGACCTTCTGACACCTCGCGAAACTCCCCGTCCAGGTCTGGGGGAGGGGATAGGGGAAGGGGCCAAGACTCCCTCCCTGCCCGCAAGCCGTCTTGCTCACTCCCACCCGCCCTCCCAACACATACGTAGCACCCGAGTCTGGCCCGAGCCTCAGCATATTCAGCACTCGTCTTCGGATGGGCAGCTACTGGGGGCCAATCCGCCGCCGCCACCGCCGCCGCCGCCGCCGCCGCCGTCGCCGCAGCCGCTGCCGCTACCGCCACCGCCGCCGCCGCCGCCGCCGCCGCAGCCGCCGCCGCCGCCGCCGCAGCCGCCGCCGCAGCCTCCGCCGCCTCCGCCTCCGCCAAGTGTACTCTGTATTGTTTTTTGACAGGGATGGTGGGGGGGTGCGCATCGGGTTGGCTACGCATGAACCGAATTTGGAGGCAGAGTGTTTTTTACAAGGGGTTGTGGGGGGGGTGTCGTCATGGTCCCTGGTTGGCCCCCAGTCGCCTGGGGGAGGGGGTGTTTATTAATAGGGAACAGTGATCAAGACTCCCCTCCCGCCCGCAAGCCGTCTCGCTCACTCCCACTTGCCCTCCCAGCACAGATGTAGCACCCGAGTCTGGCCCGAGCCTCAGCATATTCAGCACTCGTCTTTGGATAGGCAGCTACTGGGGGCCAATCTTCCGCCGCCGCCGCCGCCGCGGCCGCCGCCCCCGCTGCCAAATTGCCGCCGCCGCAGCCGCTGCCGCCGCAGCCGCTGCCGCCGCCGCCGCCGCCGCCGCAGCCGCCGCCGCCGCCGTCGCAGCCGCCGCCGTCGCAGCCGCCGCAGCCGCCGCCGCCGCCGCAGCCGCCGCAGCCGCCGCAGCCGCCGCCACCGCCACGTGTATTCTGCATTTATTGTTTTTTTGACAGGGGTGGTGGGGGGAGGCCGCATCGGGTTGGCTGCACATGCTCCGAATTTAGAGGCAGAGTGTGTTTTGTATGGTTTTACAAGAGCTGGTGGGGGGTGCCCTCATGGTTCCTGGTTGGCTACCAGTCGCCTGGGGGAGGGGGTGTATACTAATAGGGAACAGAGATAAGCCCTTCCCCGAAGGGGAAGAAGGAGTTCTTGGAACAGGAAGGGGACACATCGTTAAACCACCTGCGCCCAGAGAGCTGGTGAGATCCCCTGCGCGCATCAGGGTTCTAAGCCGGGACGTGCTTCGCAGTGTCCGGTGATCGTGCGAAGGGGGGGTCCATGTAGGTCCTGGTTCCTCTCATACGCTCAGGCCGAGTGGCCAGGATTGTCGCAGGACCTCCTTGCGAACATTGGCGACTAGCCAGGTTCCGACCCCTCCACAAGGAAGCTGCCAGCTCCACGGTAAGTGCCGCTCCCCCCGCACGCCCTCTCCTCTCCACCCAACATTTGCGAGGCGAATTTATTCTAACACCATGGAAGGCGCCCCTGTTGTTTTCGGGAACATTCTACACAGACCCTGCCTATAGTGCCGGTTTTAATACATGCTCCGCGTGCGGAACATGTATGAGACATGCAGGGATTTTGCATGAACAACAACGACTGGCTCATGCATGCGTATATTCATAAACTAGTCATGCATTAAAAAATCCGTATAAAACACAACACATGTATTAACAACTGCCCTGTACGGCGTTTCTGCGAAGCCTGGCTTAAAGGAGTCCCTGTCATCTTGGAACACCCCGTCCGACCTTGGCATCCCCTCAGGCCCCATCCAGCTGGATGCTGCCCGAGACCCGTGCCCTGTCACGCCAGGATGATGTGTCCGCTTGTGATCTCCATTCGTGCATGATTGGCGCCCCCTCCCGCAAGCCTGCCACCATCGTATAGCCTCTGTAACGACAGGGACCACAGGGGGCGTCACTTACCCTTCAAGGGGATCGAGACTGACGGCACATGGCGCACCGCCCAGGCCAAATTTCATCCGCCCGTTTTGTGCAAGGTCTTGGCCAGGACCTTGCTTACCGAAGCACGCCAACGATTCCCAGCTAGTCCCAGGAAGTAGCCCCTCTCCCCTCGGAGCTGGCCGACCGACACAGAGGGTGCACCCGACCGAATGGATTTGCGATGACGAGACCCAGCTATGTCGGACTTGGAATACGACCCATGCCGCGGACGAGTGGCTACCTTATGGACTAGATGAATTCTACGCCCCACTGGACCAATATAAGCTTACCCAAATGCTGGGCATGGATTGCATCATCCAGAATCGGGCCCTGCTCTAATCTCCAAGGTTGTCACCCCCGCTTGCGCGCCAGTGTCTCCCCAGACGGGAAGGACACAGCCCAATGTATTCCGCACCCAAGTGTGCCGATTGTGTACGCCTACGCTAAAAATAATAAGATGCGTGGTTCGGGACCAATGTCCCGATGCTTCACTGACAGAACCTCCTGAGGAGTTGCGCTCTTCTGTTCCAACTGTTATGTTATTTCTGCTTCCATTATCCCCGTTTTTTCGCTCACGTCAAAAGCAGTGCCCCGCAGGCGCTCAATGTATGTTGCTCGTGGACGGCAGTGGGAAGTTCTTGCCATGAGCTGCAGCATTATTGCATGCATCCTTTTTTTGTTATCTCTTTCTCGTCTCACACGCGGTATGGGCTTCCAGACTATGCCCTCATCGACCGACCGACCGAGGAGGAGGAACGATGGGGAGGAAGAAGGTGTGAGGGAACGTTGCGCTGCTGATTCAAAATGAGGACCAATCATGGTTGGGACAGGTGGCAATGCCCGGTTCTCAAGGCAGGCCCCCACCCCTCCGAGCCCCGCCGATGGCCGCCGAGACGGTGGACCTCTCTAGCGACGACGCCACCGCGGCCCAGGAGATCCTTTGGCACGCCGCGGGCACGTCGGCGGCTGTCGAGGTCGTAGACTCTTCGAGCGACGACGCCCCCGCGGCCCAGGAGCGGAGGGCGGCGCCCACCTTGGCACGGCTCTCAGCACGAGGGGACACCCTGACACCTTGGCGTTGCAATTTCCTCGAGCCCGGCGATCTCGCGGTAGTTCGGTTCCCGGGACCACCACAAGATCGGTCGGGCTCGAAACATGCCGCGGGAAGATGTGGCATAGGGCTACGTCATACATCAGAATGCAGCCCTTGGTCCGAGTGACATGCTGAATTTCTGACCTACTTTTTAGGATATCCCTGAATGTGTGGGTGGTTTCGTTTAGTACATTTGCAAGACTCTCTATCCTGGCCCTCCTGAATTTCTGACCTGTTTTAGGATATCCCTAAATGTGTGGGTGGTTTCGTTTAGTACATTTGCAAGACTCTCTATCCCAGACGTTTTGGCCCTCCTAACCTAGACTCCTTCTCAAAAGGGGTACGGGGCCTGCTGGTGCTTATCACTCTGGTCGGATTGTCTTCCTGTGTTTCACCGTGAAGGGGCGCCAGACGTCGGGGAGGGGTCTTGATCCCGAGGGAGACGGATCCTGGGCGGGGCCAGTCATGCCCAGGCTCTTTGTATCGGGCCCTCCACGGGCCTGGGCCTGGCATCGCTCGGACGTGTGCATTTTTCCCCGGCGAGCATCATCGAGGAGCAACCCGCAGCACCGAGGAGCAAAAACACGCACGGAACCGACACATGCACGGGGGATGGACGTCCGAGCGACGGCAAGGAGGACCGTATGACCAAAAGCGGGCTCGGGCTGAGGAGCTGGTCCCGGGAGCAGGCCCCGGGGGCCCAGGACCCGCTTCCCTCGGGGCCTGCGCGCTCCAGGCCAAGTTGCCGCCCCTTTCTCTGCGTGAGCCTTCGGCCACGCGCAGATGGGGGGAGGGGGAAGGCCGTGTTGGACGCACCCCTGCCTCTTGGAAGCCGCGGGCCTTGTCTGTAGATGTACGGCCCGCGCCTTCTAAGAAGCAGCCTCCTTCTAAGAAGCCTTCCCGCCTCCCCCTACCCCCCCTCTGCGCGCAGCCGAAGCCTCCTGGACTCGGTTCGCGATCCCGTAGCCCACTTTGCCGCTCCGACCGCGCTCAGCGCCCGCCAGCGTTGTGACCGAAAACGTGCCTCATGCCAGGAGGAGGGGGATGCATGCCCACGGAATCTTGCCTGCTCTGCCCATGTGATTGCGCCCCCTGTCCCCTATCCACATCGCTCCCTGATCTGATGCTTCTGCCGAGGCCCGGTGCTGGCCAACGGACACACGTAGCAGCTGGGCCAACGCTTCGGGACAACAGAGATACTTCATGCCAAGCTGCACTCCTGCACCGATCTTGGTCACTGCCGACCCCGGGCCCGGGGGACGACGGTGCGTACAGAGGCTTCTCCCTCCGTGGGCGAGAGGCCTACGAGGCGTCTGCACTGGTCCTGCGCTGCGCGAGCTGGGTCGCTGACCCCCCTTCTCGCCCGAACCGACCGGCCCTGCCACGCCCTCTTCCGCAGGCGACTCGCGTGCACCGTACCGTGTTGGCACCTCTCGGAGCGTCGTCGATCCTTGACACACAGGTGGTACGGCGCAGAGTTACTTCGGCCCTCGGGGCCGAAAAACGATTCGCCGTACCGCGCTGGAGCGGAGACAGCCAGCCAGCCGCCAACAAACAGCTGCGTAGTCTGGGTCGTTGAACACCTTTGGCTGCGCCTCTTGTCCGAGGGTGCGAAACTATACGCGCTTCGCGTGACCCCACCAGACAAGTGCTGCCGGTGGTCCCCATCATCTGCACGCTCGAGGTGTCGTCCAACCTGAATTCCCCGCCATTTTGGCGCTGCAGTCCGCCTGGAGGTTCCCCCCAGTCGACGGCGCCCTCTTCTGAGCGGCAACTAGGCCCGCCTCCTGTTTGTTCCTCCCCCCGCTGTCCTCTCGTCGCCTCCCTTCTTCCCCCTAGGCGCAATTAGCTCGTAGCTTACTTGCTGCGACCTTTGACGGCGCCTGGCGTTCTCCGGTGCGCCCGCGATCAAAAAGTAGCTCCACCAGTCCATCCAGAAATGATGCCCAGAGGAGTTGCCTCGATCGGGGAAGTGGACAGCACGCAGAGGAAGGGTCCCCCAGTGGAGGCCTCTTGGAGCGTCTTGGGGGCCTCTTGGCGGTCCCGGAAGCCTCTTGGAGCGTCTTGGATGTCAGTCCCACCCGCATTTCCGTTTCACCCGACTGGCCTCACCACGCTTTCGTTCGGGCGTTGCGCGATGGGGAGCGATAGAAGGGGGGTGAACAAGTGTTGCACACTTTGTGCCCAAACGGAGGCCCTAGAGAGGCCCCTTCTGTGGCCCCAAAGGGGCACGACAACTGCGCGGTTCTCCCTTCAGGGTGCTCGACGAGGGCACTTGGGCGGGGACATTTCGGTGATCACGTGGAACGTGCAGGCTTTCTTTTGCGTCGACCCGTTGAGGCACGAGGTCAAAGCGAAGTACGTTTCCACATTTCATGGGCAAAGCCGACGTGTTGATGCTCACGGAGGTTCACGGCACCGAGGTCGCGAATCAGGTTTGGCGCCCCCCCCCGCGGCACCACGGCGTTCTGGCCCCAGGTCCTTACTCGCGGGCGTCGGCTTTCCTGTCCGCGACACGCTCCTCCAGCAGTTCCACGGCGTTCCACGTTGGGCGCACATCTGGCGGGGTCGCGCCGCCAAACGATCATTCCGAGGAACTTTTGGAGATTTCGACCTATTTGTAGTTTGTGGCCATACCGGGGTACGCTGTCACCCTGCACGGCACGATCTGGCCAGGGCGTTCGAATCGGACACCACCTCCTTCGGGGACCTACGGCACTTGCTCCTGCGACGGATCGGCGGTGTTTTGGCACCGCAGTTCGACGTCCTCACCGCTTTGGGCGGGGGCTTCAACTACGTGGCTGACGCGAAGGACAGAGTTTCCGTCATTTCGGCTGCCTACACCGGCAGGCGGGACAACGCCGAGGAGAAACATTTTCAGGACGAGATCGGCGGGAGGGAAAGGTTCAACCAGAGTATACCCACGCATCGTCTTCATCACGAGCGAAGCTGGAACGGCTATATGCCACATTCCCCGTCGCGGATCAGTTTGATAGGGTATTCCACGCCTTTGCAGTCGATTGGCGTCTTGATCTCTCGCATCACCGCTCTGTGTTGTTTGTTCGCTCGTCGCACGCCCCGTTGACTTGGTGATGCAGCCTGGCCCCTGTCTAACAAGGCGCTCCAGCACGATGACTTCCCGAGGCGGTTGTGTATGGAGTATTACGAGCGGTTCTGAGGAGATCCAGACAGGGACCCCATGGCCAGGTTGGCGTATTACAAATACTGCATGCGGACGGTCGCTTCGCGCTCACAGCTGCAGTCCGCAGTCTCCAAGGAGGATCGCCTCGGCGTGGCGCTCACGTTTATCAGGGCCATCGAAGAAGGTCAGAAACACGATATCGATCAAGAAACGCACGACACCATCGCGGCCGTACTGAAGGACCACTGGGCACAGGCATCCAGAGCCGAGGGAGTAGACGACGCCGAACTTGCTCGTTGGCTTGAGGAGGACGGCGGCGCCATTCCGCTCGGCGAACTGCCCCTTCTCCGGCGCGCGAGGTGGCGGCTGCGCAAACCGCATTTCATTCAGGCGTTTCGCGACTCTGGCAATACTCCGCTGGGTCCTGATGGGATTTTTTCGCCGCTTGGCGTCGGTGCGTGAAGCTGTCCGCGAGCATCCCGACGGAGGCCACCGAACACCTGATGAACGGAGGTGCCCTGGGGGGCTTCAGATGATTTCTTCACGGATTTCAGTGAGAGTTCGTTGTTCTTCTTACCAGAGAAAATATCTGGTCGCACGGAGAGCAGCGACGGTTTCTACGACGCCGAGAACGTGCGCCCCGTGAGCGTGACAAACGCAAACAATCGACGCCGCGAGGCTAGTGATTGAACCTTTGGTGGGCCCCCCGGGTGCACCGGGTGCATCAGTTGCAACGCGGCTTCATGTTGGGCCGCTCCACGTTGGCGACCTTGGTTGGCATCGACGAGGCCATCGCCTCGAACGGATGCGCCTCGGACGACGCGGGCGCCATCTTCTTCGACTTTTCCGCGGCGTTCCCGTTCATCGATCACGGTTTCCTCATGGCCATAGTCAGACATCTCGGGTGGCCGCCAGGGCTGTTTCGGTTGATCCAGTTCTGTACACCAACAGTGCGTGCGTGATTGTCTTGGGGGGCCCCCGGCACCCCAGGTTTACAGTCGCCCGCGGCGTGCTGCATGGATGCCCACTATCTCCGTTACTGTTCGCCGTGGCTACGGACTTGTTCAACCGCCGGTTCACTCGGGAAGCTCTCGCGTTTTGTGGTCGCTTGGAGGGGGGGAGTTGGAGCCGAACCCCCCCCCTTCCCCATCCCCCTCCTGCTTCCCCTCTCCTCGGGCCGGCTCTTTTTCGTCGGCGGCGGCTGGCGGCGGCAGCGGGGACGACGATACGATGTCCTTTTTCTGGGCCGGCGCCAGCGCCTGCGGCGGTTGGCGGCGGCGGCAGGGAGCGTCGACGAGGACGACGGTGGTGGTGGTGGTGGTGGTGGTGGGTTGTGGCGGTGGTGGTGGTGGCGGTGGTGGTGGTTGTGGTGGTGGTGGTGTGGTAATTTGTCGTGCTGGGGGTGGTTGTGGTGGTGGGGGTGGTGGTGGTGGTGGTGGCGGTTTGGCGGTGTGGTGGTGGGTGGTGGTGTGGTGGGTGTGGTGGTGTGTGGTGGCATGGTGGTGGCGGTGGCTTTTGGGGGTGGTGCTGTCGTTGGTGGTGGCGGTGGTGGTGGTGTGGTGGTTTGTGGTGGTGGCGGTGGGTTGTGCTGCTGGTAGTAGTGGTTGTCGTGCCGGTGGCGGTGGTGGTGTGGTAGATTGTGGCGGTGGTGGTGGTACTGGTGGTTGGTTTTTGTGGTGGTGGTGGTGGTGAGTTGT